CCTCCCCTGGCCAGGGTGCTCTGCCAAAACCACTGTGCATCCTGTCCTCAGGCAGCACTGATGCGTCTGGCGGAGGGGCAGCTCTCGGGGTCCGGGGGTGGGTCCTCGGGCTGGGGGGGCCCCGGCCTGCAGCCCCTGCCGCCATGGCCGCGCCCCAGAGGAGGAGCCGCTCATCTGGGTTCTCTCCTCCCCACCCCAATCCTGCTGCTGCTGCTGTCTCTCTTTCAGCAGATGCTGAGGGCAAGGAGAAGGCCTCAAGGAAGAAATCCAAGGCCGAGCCGGACCAAGTAAGTCCTCCCTTTGCCGCGTGGGCAGCCCTGGAGCCAGGCACCAGGACAGCTTCAGGCTGTGAGCGTGGAAGGGAACGCTGCCCAATGCCCATCATTGCCCAGCCCTTGAGATGGAAGTCTGCCTCTGGGCATTGGAGAGTGACCCCCCAGGGATGAGTAGAGGGCTGCAGCCCCCTCCCAGCTGTCCCTCGCTGTCCCTTCTTCCTTGGCCTGTGGCCAATTCTGGGGCTCTGCATGTGTCACCAAAGCCTGCATGGCACGGCTGAGGGCCTTTGCTATGGCCAAGCGAGATGCTGCCCTATCTCGTAATGGTGCCCGCAGAAGCCGAGAGGGCTGCGTGCCATCGCATTTCCTTGGGCTGCCACTCCAGACGATTCCACCGCCCGGCCCCCCACTGTGCAAGGCCCAGCGCATCTGTCTTCCTGCAGGCCCCGACTGCAGACCCCATGAAGCGGAAGCCAAAGGAAGAGGTTGCAGAAGGGAAGGCTCCCAAGAAGCCGAGGCCCCCCAAGGCCCCCCAGTTCAAAGTGACAAAGCCCCCCTCCAAAGCGCCCCCCAAGGGAGAAGCCAAGATGGCCACCAAGGGCAAAGCCCGCCCCAAGTCAGGAGCAGAAGGCGAGGCTGAGCCCCCTAGGGCTGAGCGAGTCAAGGTGGCAAAGGAGGTCCAAGCTGAGAGCTGGGCGGGGGCTCCCAAGCCCAGAGCCAAGGCCGGAAAGAAGGCGGCAAAGGGCAAGGAGAAGAAGGAAGCTGTGGTGGCGCTGGGCCCAGGGAACGCGTGAGGCTCAGCCATGGCCGTGAGGGAGTCGACCTGCAGCGTGACGGTGGTGGGGAATCCCAACAGCTGCCATGGGGCAGGACAGCCCCTTCTGCAGAAGGAGGCCGATGGTCCGGGGGGAAGGCTGCACGGTTTTAACAGCATTTTAAACAACTTGAGGTGTTTTTCAATAAAGGTAACATTTGGCAAGGTACCAAATGAATGGGGTGTCCCTGATTCCATGCTGTGATTTTGAAAAGTGGCAGACCCCAAATAGGCCAGAGGGGCTGAAGGCCTCTGCGTGCCCGGCTCCCGCCAGGAGAGAGGAGGGAGCCACCAAGCCCCGTGTCGAACTTCTCGCCTGTTCAGTCGCACCAGTCAGCCATTTCAAGCCATTTGTTTTAGGAGCCCGCCTGCATCTTTGAATGCTCATCACGTTTGTCCAATACCTGCATTCTCGATTAATACTTCTTGCTTTGCAAGCTACATTATCTTAAATTACGCTTTACGGTAACTTTTTCACTAAGCTAACTTTTGTACATAACTTCAGTTCCGAGGCCTGCACTTCAGACTCTTGAGGCGTGGGGATTCTGAGCCACAACCATTCGAGTTCACATCTTGCTGCAGAAAGTGTTCAGTTTGCAAGCTAAAACCACCCAGTTTCCCTAACCTTTCTACCAAGGGCTTGCTTTCCAGACCCCCATCATTGTGGGAGTTCTTGTGCGCCCAGAACCGAATGCGACACCTCAAGTGGAATCTGCCACAACACGTAAAGGAA